AATGCAAACCTTGTGGATTAAATTCTAAATATAACAACTAATCTGAATTGTGTATCAATGACCAAATTAGGTAGCTAACCTAACACAGGCAATAAATTATGTCAAGATACCATGTGTATCACCTAGGAATACAACTGCTGTCCTTACCACAGGTGCTATCAAATAAATGAGATTTTGCTAGAAGTGTCACAAAAAATAGTCTGGTGAGTGGATTAGATCTGTCTAGTCCAGATTGCCCACAACAAGAATCATCTCTTCCTTAATCTTGCCCCAAAGGTCCCTACCTTCCAGTTTGTCTGGAGAACTTGCTCCCAGCTGTGTTCTGTGATTTTTGGTGCTCCTTTGCCTTGCACAGGGCGAACTTGCTTTACAGCTGTGGCAGGRAGGCGCAGGGAGAGGTCAGTCACTCCGATGCATCGTTCCAGGCTTGGATTTACTGCAGAAGGGGACCCTGTGAGGATGCAGAGGTTGGCATTCACTGCGTCCTGTGCCAGGGGAATGCTCACACCATGCTGTCCCCACCGTTTCCATGGGCCCAGAGTTGTGCTGAGCCTGCTTTACAGCTTCATGAGTGATAGGCAACACTCTAAGCTCTACCTGCAGAACAGCGGGCAACTCAAAGCAAAGCAGATGTGTGTCTCATGAGCTGTGGCTGCGCTGCTCCTCATTAACAGCACGGCTATGGCCCTGGTGAAGTTAGGTGAGGTGGCAAAGCCATCGGTGGAGACTAGTAAGGCCAGTCTCTGGATGGAGAAGGTTCAGCTCCTGTTCACGTGGATGCGGTATGAAGTTGTCTGGACTACTGATGCAGTAAGATCATCTTGAAGTACTGTGGTATCAGCATGGACAGGCAGAAAAATATCAGATTGTTTGTAATCTCTGCAAATGCAAAATTGGTACCTGCGGCCACCCAATGTACCTGACTGACAGACAGAGGTGGTAAGGACTGTGAATCCATAGGAGGAGTGTGATTTGGGCACATTTAGTGCATTCCTGTGTTCCTCATCCAGTCTCCTCCAGGAGCAGTGAATTGCTTTAGTCAGTCACACGTCTGATACTCCTTTGAATGTTATGGTATAGGAGTAACTAACCCGTGCCTTTCACCAAGAAATGGTGGAGTGTGGGGCCTCCAGCTGACGGGATGACTGTTGTCTTCTTCACCAGCAGTTAAGTGCTTCTCCGCAAGGAGAGATGATCTTGTTCTGGCCCAGCAGCTCTCAGGCTTGTCGTATGACCTGATGCTTTAGGTAGTCGCAGAGGTTCCCTCACAGATGTGTAATGTTGAGCTAATTGAGACAGTAGTACTGGAAGAGAGCAGGGTAAGAAAAAACATACAGGAGTTCTGTCAAAGGGCATTCACTTGCTTGTTTRTTCCCTTCTTCTGTTAAGTATTTGGAACTGTTTCTTTTTCTGGGAAATGGAATTTGATACAGGTTCAGCTCTTTGTTTCCTACACAGATTTTCTCTTTGGGCTCTTTGGGCTTGTCTGTTACTTCCTGCTTTCTCTTGCCCCYTTGGCCTTGGTGATTGCCACACATTTGTTTGTGAATTGATATATATTAAAAAAAAAAAAAATCTGTGATGGGCTGCCTTTGATCCTTGGGAAGTCTTTTTGCCCTGCAGCATCCCAGTGACCTGTGATAGTTAACTCATTGCTCTTCCCCACACTCGGTGCAGAACAAAAAGCCGTGCAGAAGAGCAGAAGCAGAAGCCCGAGATCAAGCAAAAAGCCTTAGGGAGAGAGGATGTAAAACCAAGTCTCTTCTAACCTAGTTTGGTAACACAGGCTCTGGACCAGCCCCTTCTTTGTGGCAAAGATAGTCAGAAGCATACGAAGAGATGTTTAATTTTGGCAGCAGTAAAGTTCATTTTTGGGTAGCAAGGTCCATAGCTCCCTTGATTATGACAACAGGAATATGAGGTCCCCTGTTGGATGTAAATCACAGGGGGCTTCCAGGATTGCATATGAACTACGTTGCAGCCTTTATTGTGCTTTGACAGCAATTTGTGCCGGGCTGTCACGGCAAATTTTCTTGGTCGGCTTTTGAATGCAGTGATGGGCTTGTAGCCTCCAAGGACTGCTGGTTGCCCCCACGGCATCCTTTGTTGCCCCCCAGCAAAGCCCACGCTCTCGGTAGGTCGGGCAGAGCTCATGCTTGGCTCAGCAGAAGATGGAGGTGAACAGGAGAGCCCCGGGTACCTTTTGGCTGCTGGAAATCGTGGTGGAGGGTTGGGAAGAAGGCAACTGCCCCATGCAGGGCTAACACTCTGTGGTGCCTGATGGAAGCAAGTACTGTTCTGAAAATACCTTGTGCAATTTGTGTAACACCTTCTTCTGCAAATGAACTGAAGCTGGCAGGAGAAGTGGGTGTTTTTTTCCTATGTTTTTGAGCTGTTCAGTGTTGCCCTCAGTCTCTGTGGTTAACTGCTAGGAAATTTCTATTTCATAGCAGCATTTCAGGATATTTTTCTCTATTTTTTTTAGTGCTTTTTCTAGGTGTTCTTAATAGTTTAAATCCTACTCCCATGAAAGACAAAGTGAATGAGCAAGGAACTGAATGGAAATGTATGAAATGATGATCCTCAACTTAACAAGCTTGTTGTTTCTTCACCAGCTGCCAAATAAATCCCGCGCGGTTTATGCTGGAGAGGTCAACGTTGTGCAGCAGGAAATGACGGGTTACCTGTCTGTATTCTCCTCGAGTTCATCTCAATTACTGGATTTGTCAAACATGACAAGCCTGAATGACTGTGTGGTGAAAATAGCACGCAGTTGGACTATTAAAGTAATTGGAGCATTGACATTTAGCCCAACTGCGAGAGAATTGCAGTAATACGTCTGAGGAGCACAACGACAAGCAAAGCAGGCAGGAATATTTTCATAAAATCTCCAGTGAAACAGATGCTTTCTTGTATTTTGATTAATGAGAATTCCAGTGTCTTTTATGGTTTACATTCTAGTTCAAAAAGAAGATTTGGAGTTGCATTATTTTAAGAAATAGGAACATCTATATGAATGGAAAATTCATGGAGTTGATATGCATGGTGATACATTTTTAATGTTGTTACATGCAGCCTATGTATACTTAATGTGTTTATTATTGCATATATGTGCCTGTCACTTACTGGCTCTCTACTCACTCCTCTTGCTTTACTCGGCAGCGTTTTTTCTTTAAACTGGAGATTTGA